GCTCCCTCAGTACTGCCCCTCCTACAGTGCAGTGCTCCCTCAGTACTGCCCCTCCAACAGTAGTATCCCTCCTTGAGTGCAGTACTCCCTCAGTACTGACCGTCTGACAGTGCAGAGCTCTCTTAGTACTGTCCCTCCTGCACTGCAGTGCTCCCTCGGTACTGTCCCTCCTACACTGCAGTGCTCCCTCAGTAATATCCCTCCTACAGTGTAGTGCTCCCTCAGTACTGACCATCCTACAGTGCTGTGCTCCCTTGTTACTGACCATCCTACAGTGCAGTGCTCCCTCAGTACTGTCCCTCCTACAGAGCAAATCTCCCTCAGTTATGTGCCTCTGACAATACAGATGTGCCTCAGCATTGCCCCCCACCAACATTGTATTGCTTTCTGAGTACTGCCTTCCCAACAGTACAGTTCTCCATCAGTACAGCACCCTGTCACTGGCAGATTGTTCTCAGTACAAACACCCCTTCCCCAACAGTACTGTTTCCCTGAGCACTTTCCCCTCTCATCTACTGACATATTTCGCATGGGAACTGCTACGAGGGACTACATACAGACGAACAGAGTCTCCTTGTTGTTGCACTGGCTCCAAAAGGACCCGACTCAAAGACCACAAACAGATGAACCTTCTTTGGCAGGGTCTGAAATCCAGTTGCATCTCTGCAGCTAATTCAGAATTTGATGGAACATGTTAAGGATAATGAAATAACTCTACAGAGGCTGGTATCCCATCACCAAGTCACCTTTACTTTCACGTGGAAAGTCCTTGAAACTGATCCAGCTCCCTCAGAGCCAGCTCTCAGGGTGAACAGCACCTCTGATACTCCTGTTTATATCTGCCAGCCCGGGCTCCCTGATCGGACCAGGTTAACAGCCCCAATCAGGGAACTCATATGCTCTGAGGTCCACCTGGCTGACCTTGTTACAATCACGATGTAAATTGTCTATTTGGGAGGTTAGAATTCTTCACAATCTGCTCCAGACATTCATCAACCCAACAGTCTAAGAGTAACCACCTTTGGCTTGACAATGTCCAGCAGGGCTCTCCATCGGTGTGGTGCTAGTTTTATAGAATTATGGAATGTTACAGTCTGAAAGGAGGCCATTCTGCCCAAAATGCCTGTGTTGGCTCTTAAATGGAGCTAAAAAATTAGCGCCACTCCCTTCAATTGCTTATCCAGTTCCCTTTCAAATGTTCCTTTCGAATCTGCCCCCTCCACCATTTAAGGCAATGCATTCCAGTTCACAACAAGTCATAACATAACAAATATTAGCTTCCTCATCATCTGCTTTGCCAATGAGCTTAAATCTGTATCGTCTGGTTGCTGATCTTCCTGCAAGTGGAGACTGTTCACCTGACTTCTTCCATTGATACAGTTCCCTTCTCCAGAAAATTATCTGTTTCCTTGACTTTGATTATTCAACAAGTAACAATCAGTCCAAGGAAAATTCAACCAATAAATCCCAGTTTTGTATTTTTCAACTGAGAGCAGGACTCAACACCTTTGAGGGAAGAGTGTTTCCAATTTCCACAGCCATTTGTTTCCCTTGTTCTGAGCTCCCTCCAAGAGGAAGTGGTTCTCCACATCTATCCTGTAAACCTCTCTTCTTGTCCTGAACAATTTGATGAGGACACCCTTTAATCTTTCGAACTGAAGGGAGTACAAGTCTAGTCTATACATCCTTTCCTCAGAATTTGAATCAGTAAGAGTCTAAAGACGTTGTGGTGAGACAATGCTACAGGCCCACAAAGCTGTATATAGAGTTTGCTCATTCACAGGATGTGGTACCACTCACAAGTCAACATTTATTGCCCATCCCTAACCAAGCATGAATTGAGTGGTTTATTAGGCTAGCTCAGAGGGATGGTTAAGGACCAGCCACAATTTGATGGTCTGACATCACGTGTAGGCCAGACTAGGTAAGGGAGGCCGATTTCCATCTCTGAAGGATATACTTGATGGGTATTGATGACAAATGCAATAGTTATGTGATCACCATTAGACTAGCTTTTGTCAGTCCAAATTTCAAATTTCATTCTGTTACATTTGAACCCATGCCCTCAGATCATCAGCCTGGGACTGTCAATGCTAGTCCAGTGTCATTACGACTTCACCACTGTCTCTCCTTCCTATCCTCCCAATAGTGCATTACACACTTACAAACACGGATACTCTGGGTGGGGGTGGACCAATCTGTACAATTGAAGAGTCTCTTCCTCATTTTTACATGCCTGCATACAAACTCAAAGCACAAATAGACTATTTGGCCCTCAAATCAGCCCTGCTAGAAGATCATGGCTGATCTGTTTCCAAATTCCACATTTTCATAAGACTGTAACATCATAAGGTGTAGAGCAGAAGTAGACTGTTCAGCCCATCGTTGTGTTCTCCACCATTCGTTGAGATCGTGCTTCATTTGATGATCCTCAACTCTATTTTTCTACCTTTTCCCCACAACTCTTGATCCCCTTACTGATTAATTTTGTCTGTCTCAGCCTTGACTATACTCAATGACCCAGCTTCTACAGCCCTTTGTGGTAAACAATTCCAGATTCACTACCCTCTGAGAGAAGAAATTCCTTCACATCTCTGTCCTAGCTGAGTGACCCCTTACTCTGTGGTGTGGTGGCCTTGTCCCCGTGTGGAGGTCTCGGCCCTGAGTGGAGGTATTCCTTGTTTTTGGTATCCAGGTATTCCAGGGCCCTGGCAGCCGGTTTCATCCAGGAATGGTGATCTCTGCCCAGCAAGGTGGTCTTCTTCAGCAGAGGCTTCCGGCCCAGTATTCCAGCAGCTCGGCATGGTGTTCTCATCCTGGCTGCGTCTTCAAGGTATTCCTTAATCAGCTTTCTCTGAGCCCAGGAGCCGATCAGTGAACTGTGATGAACTATGTCTTGATTTTCCTTTTTTATTATTATTATTATTTCTGACTTCTGTCGTTGATGTAGGCACCATGGTGGGGCGACTTATAAAACTTTTCACTGTATTTTTCTTGTAAAAGTACATGTGACAATAAATTTCTATTCTATTCTATAACAATATTAAATTAACTTGATTACATTTGCCTGCTTTTTGAATAAGGATAGTTTTCCAATTCTCTGGGACTCTTCCAGAATCTTGGAAGATTACTACCAGTGCATCTATTGTCTCTGTGGCTGTTTCCTTTTAAAATCCAATGCATTTCTTTTATTCCAGACCCCCTTTGAGGAAAAGCCCAACATTCCATTTGCCGCTATGACCAATTTGTGTACCTCTATGCACATTTTAAGTGGTTCACACAAATGGACACCCAGAATTCGCTGCCCTTCTGCAGCTCCGACCCCTTCATCACTAAGGTAATACAGATTTCTGTTCTTTCTTGGGTCCAAAGTGAATACCCTCACATTTCCTTAATTTAAATTCCATCTGTCATGGTTTAGTCCACTCATTCAGTTGGCACCCCACATGGGCCATGGTGCTATATAAATGCATATTTTTCAGAAACAGATTTGCATTCAATCCCATCACACGAGTTGAGGGCTTACGGAGGGTAGGTTCCTCCGCTGTACCTATGGCAGATGGTAAGTGACTTCAGGTTGGCCATGACCAACACAACAGCTTCCCCAACACTGAAAGACTCCGCACTTGGATTCTTGATGTGAGTGAGTGTCATTGTTATTCCGAGAGGCTCCCACTCACACTCCAGGTGGGCTACCCATAGAATCCCTACAGTGTGGGAACAGGCCATTCAGCCCCAACAAGTCCACACTGACCCTTCAAAGAGAATCTGACCCAGATCCATCCAACTTCCCTATCCTTGTAACCCTGAATTTCCTGGTGCTAATGCACCTAATCTACACATCCCTGGACACTATGGGCAATTTAGCACGGCCAATCCACCCAACCTGCACACCTTTGGACTGTGGGAGGAAACCGGAGTACCCAGAGGAAACCCACGCAGACACGGAGAGAATGTGCAAACTCCACACAGACAGTCACCCGAGGTTGGAGTCGAACCCAGACCCCTGGCCCTATGAGGCAGCAGTGCTAACCACTGAGCCACTGTGCCACCCTTGTGCCCCTGAAGCATAACTTCTGTCCTTCCCAGTCCAGGGACAGTGCAATAGGTTAGGGTTAGGATTAGGGTTAGGATCGCCACTCCTTTCTCACTAGTTTTGTCTGAAGCAGTGGAGAATTGTTTCTGGTCTCTGTGCCGTTATCGTCGGGCCTTAAAGGGAACAGAGTAGCATCTCAGAACCACAAACTTCCAGCCAGCTGTTCATTGTTCCATTAATCTGAACCTACACATCTTCTACACAGGCTGCAGCGGAAGCTTCTGGAAATTGGTCTCAAATGTAAGCAGATGAAGATCACACACGCACACCCCAGGAGTAATTGCACCCACATGGGGTGGCCTAAGAATATCAGAGCTCTCAAACTAACCAAATCACTTGGCTAATTTATGTTTGAAAGAAGCTAATTTTCAAGCAGCGGATATCTGTACCAGCTGGGACACATATCTCGAGCTGCCAGTTCTCCAGGATTGTCCTAGAGTCTCTGGGAATTCAGGATTAAGCTCCTGGGCACTGCTTCCAGCAAACTGGCAAGAAAACTCAGGGGGGCTTTGCAAGAGAAAGAAGAGCTGTGTGTTTTCTTTAGATGGCTTTTGATTTACCAGCTGGAAGAGAAATCAGAGATGGGGTGGGATGGTCGGAGGCAGAAGGGCATTGGATGAAACCTCCAGGAAACATGCCCGACCAGAGTTGCTAACCCGATACACACCACATCTACCATCTGCCATTCTCATAGCAGCGCAGGCTGCTGTTTGAGGGGGCATCTGGCACCGATGAGGTACAAGGGCTCACGCACCTCTACAGAAGAAGGGAAACAAAGAGAGAAAATGTGCGTTTATAAAGTGCCTTTCTGGACGTCGCAAAGTGCTTTACGGCCAGTGAAGTGTTTTTTCTTGTTGAAGTGCAGTCACTGTTTGTAAAGAAGTGAGGGTGGGAGGGAAACACAACAGGTATTCTGTACACTGGCAGCTTCTCACGGGTAGCTGTGATATAATTACCCGTTGTGGTGGTGTGCGGGGTTAATGTGAACACAATGGGAGAATCCTCTTTGCAGTCGTGGGGCAATGGGATATTTCACAAAACCCCGCACCCTTTTCCCCGGCCTCCAAACCAAGAGGTCAGATGGGGCCCAGTTTAATACCTTATCTGAAAGACACGGCTGTTGACAATGCAGCACTCCCTCAATACCAGCAAAGGCAGCCTCAGCCTGGATTGTGCGCTCATGTGTTTGGAGTGGAATTTGACTTCTGACTCAGAGACACGGGAAACACTCTCTAATGCACAGTTATCCCTCACAACTTAATTAATAGAGATACTACACAACTTTTATTAAATCCCATGTGCATATTATAAGTTGGATCTGCACGTCATTTTACATCAATCAGTCTCCTCAATCATTCAAGTCTACAACTGTATTATACATTATTTTTCGCTCACTGTCATTTTGGAGTCTTTTCATCCCCAAAATCATCCTAAGAGCTGGAGAAAATCAATCCATTCCTTCTCCTGAACCACTGTCACAGGCTACCCCAGGCTATTTTCAACTCTCGGATTCTGTGCAATGATGAGACTCCTTTCTTCACCAGGACCCAATTATTGCCCCATTTTTGTGTCATTGCTTCCTCACCTGCTGCTGAACCTCTTGTCCCTGCTTTTATTAGCTCCAGACTCAGCCATTCCAATGCACTCCTGGTAGGCCTCTCTCTTACCCACCATTTGGAAACTTAATCTCAGGTAAGACTGTGATGCCCACACTCTGACCTGCTCCCACCGTCACCACACCAGCTACCCCCACCATGCTCTCTGACCCATACTAACTCCCACTATAGTAATGTCAAGCTCTTAAAACTCTCATCATTGTTTTCAAATAACTCCATGGCCTCACCCCTCCCTATCCCACCCCACCCCTCGGTTTAACCGCCAGTGACCCGAGTTCGATCCCAATCTTAGGCAACTGTCTGTGTAGAGTTTGCACATTCTCCCCGTGTCTGTGTGGGTTTCCTCCGGGTGCTCCGGTTTCCTCCCACACTCAGGTTACAGGAATAGGGTGGGTACAGGTGGATGCTCTTTGGAGGGTCAGTGTAGACTCGATTGGCCAAATGGCAACACTGTAGGGGCTCTATGATCTATCAAGGACCTGTCAAGACATTATGAAATTTAAAGTTCTTGCAAAGATTTGTAGCTTGGATTGAGGGTGAGGTTGTTGGCTTGCTCGCCGAGCTGGCTGGTTATCCTACAGATGTTTTGTCACCGTTCTAGGTAACATCTTCAGTGCGGCCTCCAATGTAGAGATGTTGTTCTACTCCACTTGGAATTTATATGATCCAGTCTGTTAAGTTGGGTTGTATCATTTCCGGTTCTGTTCTGAATGGGTTTGCATACAGGGTCTAATCCCATATGTTTGTTGATTGCATTATGGGTCGAAAACTAGGCCTCTAGGAATTCCTGTGTGTGTCAGTGGTTGGCTTGAGCTAGGATGGTCACATTGTCCCAGTTAAGTTGTTGGCCTTCATTGTCCAATTGCACTGAGATGAGGGAAAGTTTGTCGTGTCGTTTTGCTGCTAGCTGGTGTTTGTGTACCTTGATGGCTAGATTCCTTCCAGTCTGGCCGATGTAATGTTTGTTGCAGTCATGTTGTAAACCACGTTGGTCCCTGCATGGCATGGGTATAGGGTCTTTGGTCCTTGTGAGTGTTTATCGTAGCGTGGTTGTGGGCTTGTGTGCTACCATGAATCCTAGTGGTCGTAGGAGACTCATCAGTTCTGACATGTTCTTGATATAGGGTAGTGTGGCCAGTGTGTTGGGGCACACTATGACCTCCCGGCATTGTCTATCTCTAGGCACCTGTGGATGACACAACCTTATATCAGGAACATATCAGAACTGACAATGAGATTCCTGCGACCACTAGGAATCATGGTAGCACACAAACCCACAGCTACACTATGACGAACACTCACAAGGACCAAAGACCCCATACCCATGACATGGAGGACCAACGTAGTTTACAAAATAACTTGCAATGACCGCAACAAACATTACATCGGCCAAACTGGACGGAAACTAGCCATCCGGATACATAAACACCAGCTAGCAGCAAAACGACACAGCAAACTTTCCCTTATCTCAGTGCAGTCAGACAATGAAGGCTAGCAATTTAACTGGGACAATGAGACCATCTTAGATCAAGTCAACCACTGACACACACAGGATTTCCGAGAGGCTTTCACACATAATGTAATCAACAAGCATGTGGGATTAGACCCCACATACAAACCCATGCAGAACAGAACCGGAAATGATACAACCCAACGTAACAGACCGGATCATATAAAATACTAAACAGAGTAGAACAACATCTCTACACGGGAGGCCGCACTGATGATGTTACCTAGCATGGTGACGAAACGTCTGTACAATAACCAGACAACTCAGTAAGCAAGCCAATAACCACACTATGAAATATTTAGATGAGCACTTGAAATGTCGCAGCATACAGAGCTAAGTGCTGGAAAATAGGATTAGAATGGATATACGCTTAATGAACAGTACAGATAGGTTGGATCGAAGGGCCTTTTTACATGTTGTTCAAACTCTATGATTATCTTTATAACCCTTTCCAATCCTACAACGCTGGGGATCTCTGTGCTCCTTCACTTATGCCCTTTTGAAAATCCTTTATTTTAACTTTTTAAACGTGCTTGTGCTTTCGGCCACAGAGGTTCTTAATTCAGTTGGAAATCCTTTGGATTCTGCTGGAG